GGCTTTGTCAGTGGAATTCTCTCCCATTCTGCTCAACAGAATTTGTTGTATTTTGCACCTCATAATGCATCTCACATTTTGAATGCAAGACCGGTCTGGAACATTGGAAGGCTAGTTCAGTACTTGCACTGTTTAATATGAAGCTACGTTGTCGCTGAACATGGCTTGGCATGGTCTTGCAGAAATAAGTAGGGACATCCCTGAAAAAGAATTTGTTCACATGCTAACTTATGTTGCTCCACAACCTGTAGGTACCTTTTTGCATAAATGGGTGTCTTCACAGATGGCAAATCGCCGATGCCATGAGCACTAACACTCCCCCATATTATCGCATTGAACTCAACACTGATAAAAAAATCAGGATGGTCCTTTTCTTCTTTGACATAGAGGACACGACGTCTGAAATTTGTACTGGTCAGACCGCAGTCCATCTCAGGATGTGCTCCGTTCTAGAGAAGCCAGTTAGCATTTTTGGTTGTTGTCATTTGAAGATGTAGTGATGAACTGTGTTGACTGGCAGTGTTTCCCTGAAGCGCACCTGAGCCCATGTGGCAATATCCTTGACATAATGATGCAAGTTTGTTAAAGCGGATTGAGGGTCACGGGTATTCAATTTTGGTTTTTGGTTTGGTTTTTGGATTTTCTGACTCTTTTCATGATAGACTCGTAGATGATGAAATCTTTCTTGCAAATTGGAGATGGAGAAGAATTCTTAAACGGTTGCAACATTTACTTATACAGTTTTCCACAAAGATGTGAACCTCTCATGAAAAACCGAGCCTTTGCAATATGCTCATATTCGACCCTATCATGACACTCACCTGTTTCCAGTTAATTAAGCTGTTCACTTGTGGAATGTTCCAAACAGGTGTTTTATCAGCTTTCTTCAACTTTCCTGGCTGTTTTTTGTTGCGGGCATCAAATTCAAAATAAAAGAATATTTGGGGAAAAAAACCCCAATAATGTTCATCAGTTTGAACATTAAATAACTAATCTCTTTGGTGCCATCACTTGACCAAAGCTTGAAAAGATTTGCAAATCATCACATTCTATTTGATTTCCGCTTTACGTAACGTCCCGACTTTATTGGGGTTTGTACAACACGTGTGAGTCTTTTCTGGGAGAATGCCGGAGTCGTTCCAGTTCTCACACTCACACCACCAACAACAAAAATGGTGGATCACAGTGTCGCACTTTGGCTGCAGAAGCTCCTGAGCACAAGGATTTTTACAATCAAATCTCTTGTTCCTCTACTGCCACCATCAGAACCAATAGGAGATGGAGAAAAACATAACCCCCATTTTCCTAAATTCACTTTAGATAACAAAACCAGAAGACAACTGCTTCACATTCTTTTACACCGCATGGGCTTGTTATTTTGTTTTTGGTGACTTTTTAGCGACAAAATAGAAATAGATCGGCTCCATTTCCATGTGCGTATGGCCTTAGAGCAGAGGTGGGCAAACTACGGCCCGTTCTTCTTTTTAATCCGGCCCGCCGAAGGTTGGTACAGTACACAATTAATGTTTGATGTAAATAATTGCATTTATTTCATTTGGACTTGTAATGACGGGTATTTCAACACCAGGTGGCGCAGTTACTTGAAGTTGCAGAGCACAGGGAGGGATGGGGAGACTAACTCAAGTAACTCCCGCTTGATACAACAAGTGTGTCCACGCTGCTATTTTCTGTCATTGGATCCAAAACGGCGACATGCAAGTGACTCTTTATTGCAGTGAGTTTTACTGGAATTGCGAACATTTTTACGTCCTGTAGATCATAGCATCCAAACTGAAGAGGAACAGTAATGGCCGCGGAAGAGGAAGTGAAGTGTATCTGATTAAACGAAGCGTGTTACAAAGTACGAAACATTCACGAGAAAGACTCAAATCTACGAGACTTTGAAAAACCAGAAAGCGATTTTTGCTAAGTCCGATTCTGGCTGTTTCCATGCTCAGAGTGAATTGCTTGCGGCTCGACGGGCAGTCGAGTAAATAAACGTTTCCTGGAATGGTTTGACTGTTATCGTGCAAAAAACTTTCCGCAAACTGGACCGAGTTCCATAGCGCTATGGGCATCAAAGACTTCGGTTGGGTTCAAAAGTTCGTTGCACGACATCAGCTGAGCAACGCTGTCTTGTGTGCTGATCGAGGGGAGGTCAACTTCGAGACAGTGAGTGATTGGAAAGAAAGCCACCAGGTCTTTTACGTGTCTCATTTTGTAGTAAATAGTCCTAACTTTGTTCGATTTTGTCATATACCTGTACTGTATGCTGCAGTTTTTGGGCAATATATTGTTGCACTTTGTTGCTTGTGTTGTCGCGCATGTATGTTGTTAACATACTTGGACGTTCATACAGGACATACCTGTATACCATAGTTGTTTCACTGTTCTCCTTAAAAGAAAGTATGGTAATACTTTAATGCTTTCATTCTGTTGATGTTTGGTATGGACTGTCAACATATGCAGTTTTTTATATGTACATATGTATCTTGTGCTGACCCGGCCCACCTGTCAAATTTAGAAATCAATGTGGCCCCCGAGCCAAAAAGTTTGCCCACCCCTGCCTTACAGTCTTCAATGAAGCTAACATCCATGTTTTTGTGTGTGGGTACCCAATGAAAACGCAAGCAGGTCCGCAGACAAAATGCAAACTCCGCACAGGAAGGCCACAGTCAAGATTTGAACACCAAACCTCAGACCTGTGAGGCAGACATGCAATAAACACTTCAACATTGCTGCCAACACAAAGTCCATCCATCGATCCATTTTCTACCGCTTATCTGGGTTCGGGTCGCGGGGGCAAGGAAGCCCAGCTTTAGCAGGGAAGCCCAGACTTCCCTCTCCACAGCCACTTGTTCCAGCTCTTCCCTGGGAATCCCGAGGCATTCCCAGGCCAGCTGGGTGGGCATCCAGGAGGCATCCTAATCAGATGCCAGAGCCACCTCAACTGGCTCCTCTCGACATGGAGGAGGAGCGGCTCGAGTCTGAGCCCCTCCCAGATGACCGATCCTCACACCTTATCCCTAAGGTAGAGCCCGGACACCCTGCGGAGAAAACTCATTTCGGCCGCTTGTATCCAGTATCTCGTTCTTTCGGTCACGACCCATAGCTTGTGACCATAGGTGAGGGTTGGAACGTAGATCGACCAGTAAATTGAGAGCTTGGATAAAATATTAGAAATACTGTAGCTAGGTGCATTAGTAATAGTACCTCGTAGCAAGTAATGACTCGTGCCACCAACATGTTGAGTTTGGGGCCAGGCAAAGTGACATGTTGCTCAACCAATTCTATTTTCACCTCTGTAATAAATAAATCACATGTACACTAGATTTTTTTCAAATCAGAGCATTGGGAGTTATAGTCTTACCAAAAGTTATCAAAAATAAATTCAGTGATCCCAAGGCATGTTGCCGTTGAAAGTATTGCAGGGTCATTTTCTACCAAGTGTTGATAGAGGATGTAAGTTGAAAGAGTCATGGTCCTGGGGGCAGTGAGCCCGCATGGTTCTCTGCACGATCAAAACAGAGAAAGTGCAGGGCCTCAGCAGGAAACTCACATCCTTTCACGGATCCTCCACCTTACATGTTGAGATCACCAAATCATGATTAATTCATAGTGTATTGCAGTCTGCAGAGCAGTAGAAAACTGAGATTGCAGGTTTGGCGAGATAAATTTTCCACCGGCGTGTGGTCTCCTTTTCCACTACCCTCCCCCACCCCCACCCTCCATTCATTTCGATACAACATTGAATGTATTCTAATCCTCCTGCAAGAGATCATGCTGGTGTTTGGGTTTTTAATGATTATGGTTATGCTAGAGTCACAGCTCTGAATTAATAGAAGTCCCCCCCACCCCCAAGAAATCTGACCACACAACAGGAATCAGAAGCTGTAGGGAATATACCAAGCAAGATAATAAAATCATAAAAAAAGTGGGAGTGTCCCAGTCACAGCAATGTCATCATTGTCCTTCACAGTTGCACAAATAACAGCTTATGATTTGACAAATGACCTCCAGTAAGCTCAAAGAGGAATCGGAAGCAAGCCAAAGTGATTGGAGGAAAAAAAAAAGGGTAATGGTATAAATTGGGGACTCATTGTAAGTCAATTTGCTGAATTGTTCCACAGCAGAGAGAAAATGAAAAAAAAAAACATCTTCGATCTAGGGTTTCAAAATCTGTTCAGGTTGACGTTTAACTTCATCGTTATTAAAAAAAATTAATTGTGATGTAATTGAAACGTTTTATAATTAAGGACAGCTGTGCCATCAACCTGACTGTGGGTGTCAATCAAATAGACGTGCGAAATTAAGAACATTGGTTTTATGTGTCATCAATAATAAAATAGTATGTTTAGCTGCAATGAAATGAATGAGACACATCATTTTTGTTTTGAAGAAATGGAACCATTTTCAAATTACTGCAAGAGAAAGAAATCTTGTGATTTATTTGCAGAGGAAAGAAAAATAAATTGATTTAGAGGCTGAATGTTATGCTTTATTATTTTTCTGACACTTCAGGATGCCCAGTGAGTCGGCTCAAATGTGGCTATCAAAAGCAAAATCCATTTTAAATTCCTCATTCCTGTTCAAAATGGCGAAACGCTGAGAGCTCACCCAAATTGAAAGCGTCAGCATTTACGGGGCATGGGGTTTGAGATTCCGAGAAATGTCGTAGCTTCCAGCTGCATATTTGACAATCAATCCTTTAATAGTTTGAATCTTTTTTTTTCCTTTTGAAGACATAAATATAAAACCTGGATATGAATGTTGTGTTAACATTTTTTCTGAATCTATTGTCAGTAGTTTAGAAAATTCAGAATGAAAGTATGCCTTGTCTTAAAACATTCCGACATTCTGAAGTGATGATTTAACAGCAGTTGTGCTATTCTCTTATTTGGCAACTACATATGTTTGGTTCGTTTTTGTTTGTTTTTTTTTTTTTTAAACCATTTTCTGTAAACAACATCTTGTACAAACTAGCACAGTGAACCACAACCTGAAGAAAATGTATATTCTTCATACAATATAAATGAACTCAATACAAAAGTTTGGTTGGTTGCTTGGTACATTTTACATGGACAGGATTCTAAAACATCATTTTCTGGACTCCTGAACTTGAAATTGATGACGTAAACAGTTGACTGTTTTAAATCCCATTTGAACCCCAAGTCAAGTTTTTTTTTTTGTTTTTTTTTTGTTTTTTTTTTAGTAAGCAGACTTCAAAAGTTGAGCAGTTCAAGTTCTGTTCCATTTTAAATAAAGGGTTTGAAATCCACAGAGGACATTTTGTTACGTTCGCCTTTTTAAGGCAGCTTTCCCCAGGTTTGATGGAAATTCTGAAACCAAAAGAAAACCTTCCAAAACTCGACATGGATGAGTGTATTATTTTGTCTTGCCTGAAGAAACGTGAAGAATCAATATGGCAGAGGCAAAAAACGGGTTTGCGGAACTTCTGAGTAAATACAAGGAGTATGTCTAATGCCTTAAACATTGAGCACTGCTTCAGTTCGTGCACAAACAACCTTTGACCAGATTACTATCTGTCTGTAAAGCTATTGACGTCTTTGACAGGAGCGAATGATACTTTTCCCGGTCCGGAAATATAACAGATCTTGAAACTTAATTTACACATAACAGTGATGAATGTTGTGTCATGCCAAGCTCCTGACAAAGCAGCAGAATAGTATGGGCTTCATATACACATCGGAAGATGAAGGCTGTCAGTTCAAAAATGTCCAGTTTTGGATTAGTCTTATGTGAATAAATAAGAAATAAGAAATCATACAAAAAATGTTTTGTGGCATTGCCCTAACCCTGTTGATATCCATGCCTCAATTCAGTCCACAGCACAATTCACCGCAGTTAGTAATCTGCCGGCCTCAAGAGTCCAGTCTGCCAATAAACTACCACACAGTGGCTTCATTCATTTCCGTGGGTGGATGTGACAAATGGTTGTTGTATCCGCTGCCATTCAGAGACAGTGAGGTAAACGGTGGGCTCGGGCCAAACACCTCAGTGGAGATATTGTGCAGAGTTCCTGGGATGCCAGGCTCTGGGCTTGGAGAGTCCCCAGGGTGGTGGGACATAATATCAGAGAAGCGCTGCACTTCACTGGATGGATGGTGCCCCGGCAGGGGGTGGTCCATACCGCCAAGCGGTGTGCCTGTGGGGCCTGAAGAGGGCACAAAGGGGAGATCCACTGGGGTCTGGGCTTGTGATGAGGGTGGCCCCTGAGGAAAGAAGTCATAGTTCCCTCCTGGACCATAATATTCACTTTGATAATCTGCAGGGGGGGAAAAAAGACATTAGGTTAGGGAATAACTGGCGCAGGAGTAACACATGAGACAGAATATAAAGCCTTTCAGGGACAGAAGTCACTACAGTGGACAGCCTATCATGTTATCAGGTTTCAGGTTATCAATATTGGGGCATGAAAGGGTGAATTGAATAGACATATTTTTCACTGGCTTGGAAGCCCGAACTTGTCCAAAAAGAATCATTCCCATAGTCTTGTCAAAACTGCTGAGAAAATATCAAGAAGTCAGTAAACTGGGGTTATGTCTGTCTATCATAGGCAGGTCCTGTGGAAGGGTTATGCTTTTCTGAATTGTCCTAATCATTTGATCTTTTGCCCTCAGGCCGTCGGTTTAGGGTTTCTAGGAGGAGGACAAAAAAGACTCCTGGTTTCATTTATGCCAAGTTCAAATTTGTTTACTTAATGACAACTAGCACTTCGGTTGCTCATGTTCTCTGTTATTTTTACTTATTTGCACATCTGCACATTGCACTTTTTACAGTAACTGATAATTGTCTATTTATGGTATTCGCTAAGGACTGAAGGTGTTAGCAATCTTGAGTATGAGTATTATAGTTTTTTTTTTTTTTTTTTTTTTTTTTAATTGAGTCTGCCTTTTAGTTTTGGATTTCTTATTAACTCACTGTTGATATTGTCATTGTGTACCTTCTCCTTTAAGTGCTCCTGCTGCTACATCAATTTCTGTTTAAGAATCAATGAAGAGTTTCTAATTCTGATTCTGAAATTGGCAAAGGAAAGGATGGGCCATCTACGCCGTTGTTGGTGTCAACCCAGCCCAGTTGAAGGCTCCTCTCATTCCCTTCAAACATAGACTGCGAGAGACACACATTACTTTACAGAAGAAGAAACTAGTGCGACAAAGTGTGTTTATAATGATTTGCAAGCAGGCACCAATGGGCAGATGATGTGAAGTTGCCAAGAGAGGTCACAGATCTGACCTTTGCATGCCTTCATGTGTGTGACCTAGTTTGATGTGTGGTGTGCAATGCAAAGTACATCACAGTGGGTGTTGAATTTCTACTTGAGGGACTATATATTCTCCGCATAAAATTTGATATAGATAATGACATTTTTGTTCTGAAATTAACTGAAAAAAAAGACGGGTCACATCAATCTCTCTCTTTCGATGGGAGTGAAAAATAAATGCTTTTCCAGCTTGAAATACACTCAGCAGCTGTAGTGTCGGCCATGGATGGGTTGGCCATCGGGAATATCTGGAATATATGTTCAACCCCACCTCCGCGCCGTCACCAATTATGTTTCAGTGTGTGACAGCAACACCCCATCTCCTCAACTCAACTCAACTGTATTTATAGAGCACTTTCAAACAGCCATCGCTGCATACAAAGTGCTGTACATGGAGCAATTTAACATATACAACAAACAGTAAATCAAATCGGTAATAAAGACGGTAGAAAGCACCGAACAGCAAAACCAAGAACAAATCTAAGTCATGCTGAGTCGAATGCCAAAGAATACAAGTGAGTTTTGAGGCGGGTTTTGAAGATGGGCAGCGAGGAGGCTTGCCGAATGTTCAGTGGGAGGTCATTCCAGAGAGAGGGACCAGCAACAGCAAAGGCTCGATCCCCTCTGAGCCTCAGTTACTTCTTGGTACTTCTAATAATGTCTGGTCCGCAGACCTGAGGCGCCAGGCAGGTGTGTAGGGGCGGATGAGCTCAGAGAGGTAAGGTGGCGTGAGGTCATTTAGAGATTTGAAAACAAATAAGAGGATCTTGAAAATAACTCTAAAATGTATGGGGAGCCAGTGAAGGGATGCCAGAGTAGGAGTTATGTGCTCCCTCTTACAAGTACCGGTCAAGAGGCGAGCAGCGGCATTCTGGACCAGCTGGAGATGCTTAATGGAGGACTGGCTGACTCCAAAGTAATCGAGCCGGGATGTGACAAAGGCATGAATTACTGTCTCAAAGTGTTCATGAGAGAGGAGAGGTTTTACTTTGGCCAGCTGTCTAAGGTGAAAGAAGCTGGATTTAACAACGGCACCAATTTGCCGGTCATGTTTGAAATCACTGTCCAGTTTAATAAGGCCCAAGTTTGAGACTGTTGATTTAAGATAAGGAGACAGGAGGCCCAAGTCTACAGGATGGGATGTACAAGGGCCACTGGGACCAAACAGTATCACCTCTGTCTTCTTTTCATTGAAATCTCCGACTACGTTTTGGCGCTCGACGGCTCATCGTCAACAACTTTTCAACAACAACTTTTCAACGCACGATGTCGGCCACCGATGACGACTATTCCCAGGCTGAATTTTGGTGCCAGCACTTTTCCTTGAAAATACATTCCTAATCACCACATTTTTTTCGCAGCTCGAACCAACCGGCAGGTAAGAACTTGTTTGTGTGATGATTCAGTCAAAGCAACTGTGGCTAAAGCAAAACTGTGGCAGGGTTTTCACTGACTGAACCTGGATTTGACACTGTTGGTCCCGAGCAGCAACAAAAAGCTAGCTCTGACTAGCCAATGCAACTTTGAGGATGGATTACGTATGTAGATAATAAGCATGTCCGGTGAAATACAGTATTATGTATGTTTAAGTTTTTATGTCATTTTCATGTTATTCTATACAAACACAAATGTTGATTGTGAACTGCTTTATTGTAGTGTAGGGGTTGGGAGTAATGGAAGCTAAGGGTTTAACTACATATGTTTTGGGTTTTTTTTGTTTTAGTAATAATGGTATTCTTCCTCAAACGCATGAAATGCCTCCATGCCTCTGTAATGACGCACAGTTAATGTGCGACATGATAATGGTGGTGTTACGAGGGGGCTTAGTTAGTCCCAAACCTTTTCTTTAGACAGTTAACGTTTTTTTTTTGTTTTTTTTCACTTCGACATTCTACATACCACCAAAAACGAAATGAGCACTCCGCCTGCAGTACAACTTCCAAATGTTATCTGTTTCAAGTAATGCAAATGTTTGATGTTGTTTACAAAGATGGTCAATTTAAAAACATTTTTGCTCTTTTCAAATTTGACATGGAAGCAACTAACAGCTTGCATTTGTGAAAAATGCTGAAAATAGAAAATAATGAGTGGAATAAAGCTGAACACTGCAACCACAGTGGCATGCGTTTTTGAGTACGGTATTAACATTCATGCAATCACACACAATGCTTGTGTAATAATTTATTAAGCAGGCCTATTGTACATGTTTGCTATTTTGTGGAATTCCGTCTGACTTGCAAGGATGGCAAACTCTTTTTGGGAAGTCACTGGACTATGGGTCATCCTCAACAAAGCAGAACTCCTCCTGGACGCCAGTACACCGGAGCCATCTGCGGGTGATTCATTCAAATAAATGAAAAATGAAGGGTTTCTTTGTAACAACATATAACAACATCAATAAATGAGGGAAATGAGTCTCAGCAGCAGTATTCACATTTACGCAATTACATGTCTTTAATTCCCATGGAAGACAAAGATGCATTTTAAGTTCTCTGGCTTGCTGTAGATGTATCAAACTCATTTTTGTCACGGGCCACTTTATAATTACCATTTCCCTTGGAGGGCCCTGATGACTGAAACTATATAAATAAGTCAAGAATAATGTTTGATTCAACTATAGTTTCAGTAACTGTAATAATGAGGGTTTTGTTAAATGCTTACAATATGTCACAGATTTATTACATATGAAAATGTGAAATTTTGGTACACATTTTAGGAAGTGTCATGGAAGTTGTCATCTTAGATTTGCTTTCGCGGGCCACGTAAAACAATGTGGCGGGCCGTATTTGGCCCTCGGGCCTTGCGTTTGACACCTTTGCTGTAGATTGTCCAATTCCTTTCTGAAACAAGTATGGCCTTATTCCTCTTGTTTCAAAAGAACACATTCAATAAGAGGCTCCTGCCGGCTAATACAGTATAAGATAGATTTGAAGAGAAAGAGCCAACTATATTAAGCATAAGCGCAAAATACGTTTACGCTTAGTTTCTGTTAAACCGCTCAAAGGGAGAAATGGAGGGCAGGGGTCATCAATCTCACCTGATACAAGTACAAAGGTGGTCTCTCCTGAATCATGCTGATGAATTCCTCTTCACTTTCTTCCGTGTAGGACCCCGTGTCGTCAATATGAATGCAAAGCGGCGCAATTAAAGTACAACAAGTGCACAGCCTGGGCTTGCCTTTCGACACTTCTTCTTCATTGTTTGTTTGCATTTGTCACTTCCGCTCTCGTCTCGTGTGCTGACTCACAAGCTAACAGCCAATCAAAGCGATCATTTGTCACGACTGCTCGACACGATTCGAAATGTTAATTGGCCAAAAACGCCCCCAGACACCCCAACGCGGTGCGTTCGACACAAAGTGGAGGGTGCATACTGACTACCCGACTGCCGATTGGTGTGACTGCCGATTGGTGTGTGAAGGCCTTTAAAAACATGAGATATTTGCTTACCACGAAAGACAATTTCTCAAGATTTTTGTGACTTTTTCCTCCTTAACTAGATATGTCATTGTTTAAATCGAAATAGTTTTAAAATACGTATGGAAATAGCTTCATCTTCGTTTTTTCTTTTGTTTGATTTTTTTTTTTATTTTTTTTTTTAGCCAACATCTTATTTTTACATTGTGGTAATTGCAGCCAGGGTGAAGACGTAAGGAACAGAAACCCGTGGGCCACCTGTTGTAAATTGCAGAAATAAGAATATGAAAAATGGGAAACACACACATCAGAGTTTTTTTTCCCCTAAAAACAAACAAACAATCTAATCAGACCCCATACCTGATGCCCGTTGACGAGTTATGGCGGTTAACCATTTTGCAATGTTGAGTAGCTCGTCTCACAATAATAAAAGACTGAGTCTACTGAAATAATAAACTACAATTGGTCTTACCTGAAGTAGGGTAAATGTAAAATAAAAACATTCTTATACTGTATTCACTATATAGGCTATAACTACATTAAGACTACTTCTGTTATTTAAAATGTGAATTGCGTGTACATTTACATAACTATTTTTACATATGTACTGTAAATGTGATGTTTAAACGAGAGTTCATTCACAAATGTTAAAATAAAACCTATTTTACAATTAGCATGAAGTTATTAGGGGGTGTTAATCAGGAAGGGTTTTTGAAATTTTTATTTACATACACAATGGTTGTTTCTCAGAACGTGTCATCCAACTGGATGGTCAAACGCTACCTCCCTTTCAGAGTCATTATTTTCTTCCCTTTAGAATCAATCAGCAGACTTCATAGTTTACAATAGTGCATGCATCCTGTAGAGATAAAATAAACAACTTGACTGATATTTGTGCGATCGTTTGTGTATGGATGTATTTTGAGTGATGAAACATGGTCGTTGCGGCCACTTCCTCTTTTGTGACATAACAGCACACCCATCTAATTAGGAGCTCTTCCTACCCTGAAAATGCATCAGCTTCAAAGACTGTTGCTTTAAATAAATTGGCAGAATGTCAATACAATGCCATTTGGGTCCCACGCTGACCATAGTATGATAATACTTGGGCAAAAGAAAATAGATGAGGTTCATTACCCCATGTTTCCACAAGGTGGCACTCACAATCCATTCATCCATCCATCCGTTATCTGAAACTGCTAATCCTCACTAGGGTTGCGGCATGCTGGAGCCTATCGCAGCGCAGCTGTCTTTGGGCAGTAGGCGGGCTACACCCTGAACTGGTTGCCAGCCAATCGCAGTGCACACATAGACAAACAACCATTCACGCTCACAATCACATCTTGGGACAATTTAGAGTGTTCCATGAACCTTTCATGCATATTTTTGGAATGTGGGGGGAAAACCAGAGTACCCGGAGAAAACCCATGCAGGCACGGGGAGAACATGCAAACTCCACACAGGGAGGCCGGAGCCGAAATCGATCGCCGCACCTCTGCACTGTGTGGCGGATATGCTTACCAGCTGACCACCATGACAGTCACAATCTACTACTGTAATATACTTCCAACAGAACGACTTTAGAAAGAAACCAAATGTTCAGTTGGTTGGCTGCAAAATACGATGTTAATATTGATTAAAAACTGGCCAAATGAGGTGTCAGACACTTCCACAGCTGGCACAGACATGGTCCTGGAGTCACATGAGGAGTCATTTGCCTCCTCAGCCACGTTGCGGACTCCTTCAGTTCTGACTGACAGAATTCAGACACAGCTGATTTGTAGAGGACCAAGTGAGGTCCCTGCTGACTTTCCTTGCCGTCAAATTGACAGTGACTGGTCATGAAATGAAGAAAATTTTCCATTTTATATTTTAAATGGTGTGAGATGTCATCTTTTAAGTTAAAGGGAATGTTGAAGTTCAATAAGCAAATACTGTAAATGCCATATAAAATCTTGCCCAGGGCGCTAAGGCTAGTCTTGCCTGGACCATACTTTCTAAGAACCACCCACGTGTGCGCGCATATACACATATACGTGTGTGTGTGTGTGTGTGTGTGTGTGTGTGTGTGTGTGTGTGTGTGTGTGTGTGTGTGTGCACGTGCCCGTGCGTTTGTGCTCCCTTTGGTAACCTTATTCAGCTGATAAAGTGTTTTATTTATTTGAATCCCAAAGGGCCTAATTGTTGACATCAAAACATTAAATATGAATCACACCCTGAGTGTTTGGGCAAATTGATTTGTAAATTACACTGGAAAGAAATTAAACATACTTAAGTCATCTGTCCGTATACAGTAGGCCCACTTATAACATAAAACAAAAGTCAATTAATGGGGGAGGATGGATTGACTCGAGGTAATTAAAACATTGAAAATGTCTCGGGCAAGCAAAAGTGGGAGGGAATTCCACTTCGAGTGAAAGTCAAACACACCTCCGTAATAAGAGAAAGGTCCATTCGGGATGAGCTCCCCAGGTTCCAGGCGGTCAACCAGCGTCCTCATCCGCCTTGGGCTCCTGAAAAAAGCATGCCTGCGTGCTCCTAGTGCGCTCAACTGCTTCATGCGCCTCTCTTTGGAACGGCGGTTCTGGAACCAGACCTGCACGTGCATTGACACACAATCAGCAAATATGCAGATGGACTTTTGATTGAAAGGCCATGTTTTGGGCCAATGATTTGAGTGGAGATTAGGAGAAAAAATGAGTCAAATACATGTTTCGGATTTTTGCGGTCATTTGGAGTCAGTAATAAGGAACTTTTTTTTGTATCGTTGCCCTTTCTGTAATTGTCTGATTGCTATATTGTCAATCACATTCAACCTTCAAAGATAGCGTTTGAGTCATATTTGCCAATGTGCAGAAGGTTTTTTTTTTTTTGTTTTGTGTTTTTTTTTTACCAATAATCTAGGTCAGTGGTTCTTAACCTGGTTAGAGGGACCGAACCCAACCAGTTCATATGCACATTCATCGAACCCTTTATTAGTGAAAAACAAAAATGACAAAAATGACTTTTTACAAATTCAAGACATTAAAAACGCATTTATTAAAAACAGAAAAAGGTAAATAAGATTTCAAGACATAAGTATAAGTTTGTTTGGTTGTTTTTTTCTACGACGTACTATCACGGCAGTCACACGTTGACCAATGAGTGAACTAAATTTCCCGCAGCACTGATTGGACCAGCAATGTCATGTGATCATCTGCAGCCCGTGATGGCCAAGCGGATGTGTCATAATTAATTTACATGTTGAGTCAGGTGTGTCCGAACCTCCGTGGCAGAAGCTCCGTCGAACCACTGAGACCGATTCACCAAACCCCTGGGGTTCGATCGAACCGAGGTTAAGAACCCCTGATCTAGGTGCGTAACTGTTTCAACCATTCTCGCCTTATCTGCACTCAAAAATCATTTGCGCATCTAACACATTACTATCGCTAGTTATACATACAATATGCTGAACCCTCTCCTCAAAATAAAACAGTCCAGCATATCCCAAATGGTACTTTATTCACATTGTCAGATATTTATTCCACAAAACATTCCTGCAGAATGAATGACATCGTGAAAGGTGTGTTTTATGTTTGGATCCCACATCCAGCATAATAGGAAAAACACGACATCGGCGATAATATCAAATTCAAACTGTAATAACAAACGTGCTTTAAAATTAATATTATTACTCGTAGCCAATAAAAAGAATAGGAGCATTCCAAACGGAGCATCCGTTGCACAAGTTTGTATCGGTTTCATTAAATGTGCATGAGTACACATTAGGTTCGCATTAGGAAAAAAAACGTGCACGCCGAAATATGATCGCAAAACGCCAGCGCGGCTGTTCGTTGACTGTGCATTTCAATGTGCGACAGGAATTTAAAAAACTGACTCACAAAAAACAAAACCTGAATTTCCCCCATTTTGTAATCACGCGGCCAGTATTGGCTTTCCTGAATTCCACGTGACCGCTGTGTAATTGAATGGGCTGTTTTGTAAGATGGGCTAAAGGAGATGAGATAAGGGCGGGCGTTCAGTGACTGTGCATTTCAATGTGCGACAGGAATTTAAAAAACTGACTCACAAAAAACAAAACCTGAATTTCCCCCATTTTGTAATCACGCGGCCAGTATTGGCTTTCCTGAATTCCACGTGACCGCTGTGTAATTGAATGGGCTGTTTTGTAAGATGGGCTAAAGGAGATGAGATA